AAACGAAAAATCATCTTTGTATAGCTTTAATAATTTAAGTACTGTTGAATTTTTAAAACTTTGAGCGAAATTTTTCTGATCGAATTCATTTTATATACCAATTCTGCAAATTGATTGGCTGATTTCCGACCATTTATCATGTGATTTTTTCAAATCCGATAGCCTCTCAAAACCGATACAGAACCTGTCCACAATGCATACCGGTTTTGAGAGGGCTAACAGTATATGCCGTAACTTAAATTATAAGGTATAACTTAACAATTATTATCAGTTATATAATGCTGATAATTAACATTATCAATGTTTAATCAATAAAATGTTGATCTTGATTAAAAACAGCATATGATCCAGATAATTTATCGGATTATTCAGATATCCATCCATTTAATTCATCTTATCCAATTATTATCAGATATCAGATATCTAATGGATAAATGGATAAACGGTTTATGGATTGAAACTCTACATAGCCAAAAATAATCTTTTATTCTCGTCCGTTTAAAAAAAATTAGCTTAGCAATAAGTTGATTTTGTCGTGTTTTGAGAAGTTATTAATATACTAACTTTTTTAAATGGACGAGAATAAAAGATTATTTTTTGCTATGAAGTCCTACAGCTCTAATGAAACCTTCTATACAGCTTTTTTTATTTCATTATGATTAGTTGTAAATAATGTAAAATTAAATTGAATTTATTAGCAAATCAGACAAACTTCTGCCTATGTGCTGTAGCCCTAATTGCGGGCCGGACCCGGGTCGCAAAATTGTGCAATATGGATGATGAATAATGGTGAATGATACCCGGTCTTAATCATGGGGTATTATTTTTGGGGATACTGTAGGCAGTAACGGTAGAAGTGTACAAAGGGCCCGTGGATTTTTGCGATCTTAAGGAATGTGACGTAAATTTTTAATGCATAACCTTAAAGAACATCATAAATCAGGTTCAGCCTCATTTGAGGTGCCCATCCGCGATTTCACGAACTTTAATATCTCGCGCGAAATGACTAATTTAGCATAAATTTTAATGATTAGTGATTTATCAAATGTGAAAGTTCATTTTTTTAATAAAGATAATTAAGTATCTTTTTATAGAAAAAAATTATATACAAATAAATAAATCTTGGTCGATTCATAACTTATATAACACCACAAAGAGCTAAATAACGTTTGTTAAAAAAATGTGTTTGTTGTAAGCATTGCGGTTATGAAATTGTGAAACCAGTGTTGTCACGTCTACTATGTTCAAGACTTTTTTAGATCATGTCTAAGAATGTCCACAGCATATTCAAGCTTCAAAAAATATTTTTATTAACTTTTGAGTAATTTTAATTTATTTATTTGTCCAAAAGTATCCAAACTAATGTCCACGACAACCGATGTGAAGTGTGTGAAGTATGCTTATAAAATAATTGTTCACAGTGCTTAGTATCAATCTCAAAGAATGTTTTTTTACACCATATATCACTAATTCACTGCAACTACACCTTTCATTACGCGAACGCGAACCTTGTTTTATTATAGATGTAAAGCGAGTTAAAATTCACCAAAGTTTAAAAATTTTTTGACCTTTATTAATTAGAACTGTTAACCTCGTCATAATACTGCATTTATCTGATATGAGATTTTAGAGTTTGTATCCGTTGCTTATAAGAATATATACCTTAGGGGAAAAATGTGTTCTAAAGAGAAATATTCTTTGTGCGCTGTTTAAACCTTGATTTCAGTGGTCATTTCTATTCACAATTACTAAAACATACCAAAGTTATAAATACAAAATTGTAAAATACAAGATGTATTTTGCACAGCCTTGTATTATGGTCAATTTTGGCATTACCAACTTCGCCACCAACTTTAAATCTTTAAATATCGATATAAACCAAATAATTCAATTTTCAAAGCCCCGAGAAATTTTATAATGAGAATGATCAGCTTTGTTTAATTTGTACTTCGTTAATTTATCAACCAAATTTTCCTAATTATAATTTTCACAAGTGGCGATGACATTACAGATCCTTTAAAAAAAAAAGATTTCTCCAGGAATGCGAAAAAGTAACTTTATAAATTAGTATATATATATCATCACATCTATATAATATAGGGATAACAATGGCGGGAATATCAACGATACTAAACTTCGTAATAGGCATCCTGGTATCAATGGGTGCCTCGATTATGGATGCAGCAGGTATAAATCTGCTTAAATTGGATCATGTCAAGAATTCCAGTAGACCAATAGAAAAACAACGTAACGATTGTGGCAGACCTTTATGGCACGCTGGCTTGTATTTATATATCTTTTCACAAGTTTTTGGAAGTACGATCGCATTAAGTAAGTCTGATCCTTTTTCTGAAATTTGAATTACTAATTATTACATTGTCAAGAATACATTTTATAACAAAACCATTATTGATTAATAGATTTTCTTAAACCGCAATGGGTAGCACCTCTTGGATCTTTGTCTTTGATTTTTAATTTTATTTTTGCCAGAGTTTTAGTTGGAACTAAAATTACAAAACAAGATCTTTGGGGTACTTTGGTAATTGTAATTAGTGTGATATGGATTGTGGGTTTTGGAGGTATTAACCAGGAAAATGAGGGTATGTAATCAAGCTTGCTATATATGTGAATATCTATTTCTTTTTATGTACATGATAACATAATTAATTTAATATAACAGATGCTTTGGATTTGGAAAAATTAAAGGAATTAATGTTACGCCTCTTATTCATCATTTATTTTTCTATACTCAATGTAATAACTTTTATCCTCTTCGGCTGCGCCATATTTGGTTACCTGATAATTAATAATTCTGAGATAAAGAAAAAATATAAATATCTTAATGGAATTGAACCTACTCGATTGCGAAATTGGGTTGGTATGACAATGGCTGGTGTTGGTGGTTTACTTGCCAGTCAGACTTTACTCTTGGCTAAAAGCGGGTATGCTTCATTTTTATACACGTTAATGTTTATTCATATTAATTATACTTATATCACGTGCTCTTCGTTATTCATAGCGTTAAGTTACTTGCCACATCCATCTCCGAACAAAAGAGTCAATTTACTGATAAATTAAGTTGGTTTATTCTCTTATTCCTAATGTTTACGGCCGTACTCCAGGTTAGTTTCAAAGCTATTCTTATCATTAATATATATATCAAATGCATGAATGGAGAATTTAAATAATTGTAGGTTTATTGTCTTAATACTGCATTGAAATTACTCGATACAGTATTGGTGGTCCCTATGTTTTATGGTTTCTATACCACAATGAGTATTGTAAACACAATGATTTATCTTGATGAATTAAGTGAATATCCTGCTTGGATACTTTGCTTAATTGCCATTGGAATTGCTGCTTTAGTATACGGTGTGTTATTATTAAGTGAGGCAAAAAGTACAGATGAAGACTCGTCGGATGAAGATGAATTTGATGACAGTAAAATACGAAAAAGACGTAAAAAGAAGAAACCTGAGCCAGAAGACGTGTTTGCTGATTGTGACAAATGGCTTAAAACTTGGCAAAGTAGATTCAGTATAGGTGAAGATGCTGATAGACCCGAATTACAGATTGGGGAATCTGAAATAAAACCAACTATTCACCATAAAAATGGTAGTGAAGAATGATAAAAAAGAAATATCAATGATTAACATGTTTTAATATCTTAAATTTAATAGGTTACACTTTTTGGTGGCTAACAAAAAAAAACTATGCATGAAACTAGAAACGGTTAATCTTGAAGGTTAACTTCAAATGTTTGTTAATATTTACTAACTTTATTAATATTCAAGGGTAAAAAGATATGCCATATTAAACTGTATGTACATGTAACAATAATCAATATAATGATAATACAAAATTTTAAATCACAACAGTGGTGCTTAACTCATTTTTATAGAATTTTATTATTAAAGTTTAGAGAAAATTGGAAGTTAGAGTAAAATTAGAAGTTAGAATAAAACTAGAAGTTAGAATAAAACTAGAAGTTAAAGGCTAAATTTTAAAGTTATGGTTGAGGGCTTTTTTAGAAAACTGCTTCTGCTTAGAATATCAAATTATGGTGCAAACACCACTGGTGTGATTTAGTAAAGTCAAAATAACAACATTATTAAATATCTACATAATAAATAATGCTAATGACTAGAGATAGTAGGGTTGTTAATGGTGCAACATACTCTGGAGCCACTCCAAGTTGCTAGAACAACCTGGTGCATGTATGGAGAAGTCAACAAACCAACCTATTAACAACCCTCGGATACTGTGGAATCGGAGTTTTGTGTCTAATCTGACGCACAGCTTCATGAATTAAATATATAGTTAACAATACATTATTAAGCCACCTGGCCTATTTTTCATGACCTAAAAAAAAAAAAAAGCCATTACTTTTGACCCATGTAAAGCGATATGTATGATAATCATGAGTCAATTAATTGCAATTTGCATGCAACGCTTTACGCGGATAATGAAAGAAAATTATCATTAATTGGGTTTCAATTAATTTTATAATTTTAATTGATTTTAATTGTAGTTGAATTTTCGATAGGCCTGCCCCAAAGTGCAAATCGATGGCGCAGCCGCAGCATAAAATAACCAGATCTTTTTATCTTGAAGTTCATTAAGAAGGTTGAGGTTTAATATTGGTATGATTATCGTTTATACGACACAATATGATCAATCAATTCTCAGTTCTCAGTTGCGCGCCATTGATCCGCACTAGGGGAGCCGCCCGATAATCATATTTTAAAAGTTATCAGTTATGTAATTTGATTGGTTAATACTCCTAAAAACTGGCATGTTACACAGCATATTTAAAAAATCTATATATTGCGCCATAACGATAACGTCGAAGTTAACGCTTCCACATTTACCTAAAAAAAAAAAAAAAAAAATCTCGCAGGGAGCAACTCAACATGAATATTAAATTGCCAGGTGCCGAAATTGGCAAAGTCGTGACTCGATTTCCACCGGAGCCTAGTGGATACTTGCATATCGGACATGCCAAAGCCGCAATGCTAAATCAATATTTTGCGCAAGAATATAAAGGAAAAATGATTTTAAGATTTGATGATACAAATCCTACTAAAGAAAAGGCATGTTTATTATTTAATATTTTAAACTAATTGAATTATGTGCTAATTTTATTAATCCATTTAATATATATATATAAAAGGAAGAATTTGAAGAATCTATCAAAGAAGATTTAACACTGCTTGGTATACATGCTGATCAAATAACTTATACTTCGGACCATTTTGAGGAGCTTTATCAATATGCTATCAAGATTATCAATAAAGGATTAGCTTATGTAGATGATACTGATGTCACTACGGTATTTATAAAATTACTGCTTACATACCATTATTTTATAATTAATGTTTTCCAAAATAAATTTAGATGCGCACGGAGCGTATGAATGGTACTGAATCCAAGAACCGGAATTTATCTGTTGAAGAGAATCTTCAGAGATTCCAAGAAATGTTTGAAGGTACCGAATTTGTAAGTAGATAACTCAGTTTATATTTAATATAATTCAAATTTTATTCATTATAATTATTTTTTAGGGTCTGAGCTGTTGCCTGCGTGCCAAAATTAACATGAAGAATCCCAATAAGGCACTTCGTGATCCGGTTCTATATAGATGCAACATATTGCCTCATCATCGTACTGGGTAAGGTAACTGTTGTACTATTATTTTTCAGTCAATAATACTTATTAACTACCAATTTTATTCAGAGATAAATGGAAAATTTATCCTACGTATGATTTTGCATGTCCAATCGTTGATTCTATCGAAGGTGTTACGCATGCATTAAGAACTAATGAATATCGTGATCGTAATGCTCAATATGATTGGATACTTGATGCCTTAGAATTAAGGAAAGTGTATGTTTGGGATTTTAGGTATGTAATAATACATGATATATTTAATTACTGTTCCATTTCTGTTTTATGTATTCAACGAATTATTTTATTATAGTCGGTTGAACTTTGTATATACTTTATTATCAAAACGTAAGCTACAATGGTTTGTAGACCAAGGTCTTGTCGGCGGATGGGATGATCCGAGATTTCCAACTGTTCGCGGTAAGTTATCTTATTATACCAAAGATGCTTGGTATATAAAGTTGTTCTCAATATAGTGAAGTGGAGAGTTTTATTAATAAATTCACTATATGGGGTGAGTCAAGCAAATTTTTTATAATAAAAATTTTTAAAACTTTAAACTAAAATAATTTAACAAAAACTTGATCAAATATGATAAAATTTTTTTTAAAAATTTTTATCAAATTTGATTTAAGTTTTTGTTAAGTTATTTGTATTCAAAGTTTTAAAAAAAACTTTATTGTAAAAATTTGCTTGATTTCTATTGACTCACCCCATATTGTGAGAATTTATACTGATTGGTTCTTACTATATCAAGAGTTCACTATAACGAGAGTGACTTGTATTTATACATAATTGTCTTTGAAAATCAATATTTGATTACTGGTAATTACGGAGAGGTTTTTTTATTGGGTAAAAAATAATAAGTGCGTAAATTTTGGCACTTTTCATAAAATTCAACAAATGACCTTTATTAATTGTTTATTTACACATTTGAAAGGATATATTATATATAATTATATTTAAATTGAATAATTTATCATCAAATTTAGGCATACTCCGTCGTGGAATGACCGTCGAGGCTTTGAAACAATATATTCTTACTCAAGGTGCTTCAAAAAATACGGTAATGCTGGAGTGGGATAAACTATGGGCTTTAAATAAGTCAGTTATTGATCCCATTTGTCCAAGACATACATCAATGTTAAAACCGAACATGTAAATACGGTGTTTATTCGTCTATACATTTAAAACATTATTTTTCAATTTTAATGCTGGTAATTAATTATCTTTATATTAGTGTTAAGGCTAGTATTACTGGTGGTCCTGAAGTTCCCTACACAAAAGACTTACCAAAGCACAAGAAGAATCCTAATGTAGGAACAAAGAAAACATGGTTTTCTTCGACCATTTTTATTGACCAAAATGATGCTAAGACATTTGAAATTGATGAAGAGGTAGTGATAATATAATGTTTTAATATTTAAAATTTTTAATGTTAAATTCATTGCGATCAACAATAGATAACACTTATGGACTGGGGAAATGCTATAGTTAAATCTGTTCATAAATCAGACTCAGACCCTGAAACAGTGTTAGGGTTAGATTTGCAACTTCATTTGGAGGGTGATTATAAAAAGACTAAGAAAAAGATTACTTGGTTGGCTGATACCGAAGATGTCTTAGAAATTGTGTTGGCCGACTATGATTATTTGATCAATAAGCGGAAATTGGAAGAAAATGATGAAGTCACAGATTATGTCACTGAAAAAACCGAATTTTTAACTAGTGCTCTTGCAGATTCTAATGTGAGAATGCTTAAGAAAGGTAGAGTTTTATTTCAATTTTAATTGTTTGTATTTTGACTAATTATTCATTGAAGATTCTTTTAATTTTATAGGTGATATAATTCAGTTTGAAAGAAAGGGATATTATATACTGGATGATAATATTTCTACCACATCTGTTCCACGTTTTAATCATATTCCTGATGGCAAGGCTAGTAGTATGGCTTCTAAAGCCGCGAGTGGTAAAAAAACTTAGCCAAGTCTATAATTTTGAAACGGCTAAGCCTGCCTACTCGGTATTGTCTCAAAAAATTAAACTATAATCGGAAACTTTACTGGCTACATTCGTATTTCATTTTACATGAAATAAATGTCGCAGATCATAATGAAATCGGATTAAAATGAAATGAGGGGTTTCTATTTGACCCTCTAAAACCCATTTATACTTGTTTATTATAAAACCTGCTTCTAAACCCTAATCCTAACCCTAAAAAAATGCTAAAAAAATGCACCCCAAAAATTTGTATTTTTCGGTGGCTTGTCTATTTTACACTATCCCTCATTTCATTTTAATCTGATTTCATTTTAATCTGCCACAGTTAATATGATTTTTATATTAAATGATGTTAATTACCCCCTATATCTGAGGCTCAAAGAGGGGGAGGTTATGTTAAACATAGTTTTAAATTGGCGTGGCCTAACCCTAAATTTTTATTTTCACGAACTTGGTTTATTTTTTTTATGTTGAATTTCCTTTTTGGGTTTGTATCACTCGCATAAATAAGTAAATCTACGTTTTCAGGGGCAAATTTAGGTTTCACAAACATATATCACTCATATAGATCTGATTGGTACAAATTTCACGTGGATATAATCTAGCTTTAGTTGTACTTTAGTGTAACAAAAGCATGCAGCACTGGATATATAATGCTAAATATCAAATTGTTATTGTTTATTGTGTACGCGTTTGTTCTTTTTTTTGGTACATCGATATCTATGCAAACCTAATGTCAAATTGTTATTCAATTACGCAGCATTTATGTGAAAGTGTATAGGAATTTTTAATAAAATCCTATATAGTGTTCATGCAAGCATTTATGTGAAAGTATATAGGAATTTTATAACATTCTATATAGTGTTTATGCAAGCATTTATGTGAAAGTGTATAGATATATAAAAGGAGAAAACCTATGAGGTATTAATTGCTTAAAGGTTTGAAATTTATATCTAATACAATATGATTGAAAATTTTATTATTTATATAAACAATATTCTAATTATTTTTCTAAAATAAATGTTTTTTCAACAAATATTTTCTAACAATCACTTCTTTGAAACAAATATTTTTTGGACTTGAGAAATAAAAATATTGAAGGAAGTTATTATAAGAGAAATTATTGTATTTAGAAAGTAATTGTTAGGAAATAGTTTTAGAAAAATGGTTATTAAAAAGCATTTGTCAGAAAAATAATTAGTTTATTAACTATAATCTATTATAAATAAAAAAAGTGATTTATTGTTTAGAAAAACAAATAATTGAGTAATAATTTATGAATATAATATAATTAGATTTGGATCAATTTTTATTCAGAATTATTAGTTGTATATGGCATCATATTTGTATTCTTATATAACATCATGAATATTGTGAGTAAGCATAATTTTAAGTGTTCTTAATACCATAATTTTAAACTAAGTCTATATTTCTAGGCTTAAAAATTGATTAATATCACAGTACTAGTAACTTATTATTAACTTAATTAAGTTGATAGGCAGATGCTTTAACAAAGAAGTATTATTTCTAAAAATTATAGTAATAATTTTAAAAAAAAAATAGTAGACTAATATTTTGATTTATGTTCATTTTTATTAACAACTATTGTACAAATCAAGATATTATTATATAGCTACCTAATTAAAAATAGTTATTATTGTGGCAATAAAGAGAATTCATCTAAAAGCAAGTATAAATTGCAAGAAGAATTTGATTTAATATCTCACAGTATAGAGAGCTTGTGTTCTGATTGGCTAAAAATCAGAATATTATATTGATAATTTTAAATATTAGAACAGCTCTCTAGCCCACTTTAAACCAATTGTATATTACAAAAATGAATTGTAGAAAGTTGTGACTAAAAAATCTTCAAGTATATCTTTGGCCTTATATATAGTTAAAATAATTCAAAAAACAACAAGATAATTCAGAAGTTAGCTAAGAAACATTTATTTAAAAGCATATCTATACAAGATTCTTATTGTGAAGATTTAGCTTTCTCTAGTAAAAAAAAAGAAAAAAAAAAAGCTATCACTATAATTTAAAGAATTAGAAGATAATTATGTAATGATGAATAGTATGATGCTTCTGTTGTGTCTGATCGGGTGATTATACCAAGTTTTAGTCAATATTTAAACTTGGTCGACAAGGCTTTGTGCTAAAAACATTATAACAAATTGATTGTAAATGCAAAAAGATATAATACTAACTATATACTGTATGTTCATATTCAAAACACTAGATATATACTTCTATAGCAAGATCTGATATAGAAACGAAGGCTTTTTTTAAAGTTTCAAAGTATTTACTAAATTTTTTCAAGTTGCAACAAGAGACAATGATATGTTATCATTACTTATACAAAACTGATAATGATCCAGAATATGTTAATTTGCTTAACTATTTACTGCTATCAAAAAGAATTTCAAAAAAGATATAAGAAAATTTCAAGATAGGTCATATATATTAAGAGATGAGATTATTTATTCTCAATCTGAATTTCAAAAACTAGAATTCATATATCATAAAATATATATAGAGCTTGATGAAACAAAATTAAACAAGTATGTAACCAAACAAGTACTTCACTATATTGGATTACATGCTCATCACCTCAACTTATTTATAATCTAATAGATTGTTTTCTACAACATGTCCTCAATTCAACATCACTTGATACTTCATCTGAAGAGATTGCTATACTTTATAATCAAATTAAAAACCTGAACAGTATGATATTTCATAACCACCGTGCTCCATCACTCTGTCTGGTCTTGTACCTAAAGATATTATTAATCTACTCAAAGATTTTATATCTTCTGCAAAAATTGCTTCTACAATTACTATCAAATTTCTTCTACATCTTAATTTATAAATTTATCATAATATTTGGATACTGTATTGTATCTCTCACTCTCATATTTAATCTACTAATAATATTGTACCTTCTTTATCCATTCTCTCATAATTCTTTATCTTCTCAATCTTCTCAAAATTCACCTTTAGATCTAGCTTGCTCTAAATTAAAACTTTAATACCCTTTATAGATTAAGTACCAAATAAGTCCAACATATATAATTTCTAATCTATAAATCTAGGTGAGCCATGGCCACCCTAGTTGGTTTAGGCCACAGATAAACTAGTCTGAGTTTCTTTTCTTACTATCATTAGATATGAAATTTAAGTTGTAATTTTTTTCTATATAAAAAATTTTAATTAAATTTCAATAAAGACAGAGACATGGTCTCACTATTAATATTCAAAAAAAAAAAAAATTAGACAAGTGAATGACTTTATTTATTATTTTTGTTTTATTATTATTTTTGTTTTATTATTTTTCTGTTTTATTATTATTTCTGTTTTATTAATTATTTATAAAATTTTTTTTCTTCTTAAAAAATCAAGCTAATAGCAGATGTGTTATACACAAGATAGTATGCGTATAATGAGAAACCTGTCCTTGATTCTAACAAATTCAAGAAAATGCTTGAAGAAAATGAACTGTTATTGAAAGGTTTTTTGATTAATTAGTAGCTGAAACTAATTCAAAAGCAAAGAGCAACATAATTAATAACAAAAATAAGAAACAACTAGTTTCTTTTTGTTATTTTTTAGCAAGTCTTAATAATAAATTTATTAATAGAGTTAAAGCAGAGGTTAGATATTTATTAGATGCATCTGAGATATTGTTATTAGCAATAAAAATCTTAGCAGATACTGGCTTAATGGTATAACATAAAACGATTGCACAATATAAAACTCAATATTCGAAAATGCAGACAATGTTAGTAGAAAATTTTTTGACAAATAATATAAATAATAAATAAATATATTAATATATTAATTTTTTTTTGTTTTTGCTTAATACAACTTTATTATATTAATTTAATACAGTATTAAATAACTATAATTTTTCATTAGGATAAAAAATTAATTATGCTTAATATAGATAATTTCTACAATATATATAAATACTGTTATAGCAATTCAATATTAGCACATAACAAAAATTCGACAACTCTTCCCAACAATCACTCATACCAAACTTACGACTAACGAAAACAGAACTTGTTGGAGAAAAGTAGAAGAGACAACTACAAATAACGGTTTTACAGAAATTAAAGATTTTCATATTTCCCCCGGACTCCTCTGTATATTCAGTATACAAGTTAAAAGTGTTCTTATACAAGATAACTGTCAAGAAGGTGATACCTTTGTACAGAAAATTTTAATAGAAGCTCTGCTTTTGCTAACGAAGTTAAAGATAGTTGGTCTAAGGAAAACAACAAGCAAGTTTTCAACATGTTCTTTATTAAAGTTTAAGGCTACTCGCAAACTGAAACCCTCTTCTATATTCCCACTCTTGGTCTTTACGAAATTTCTCTAAAAAGTGGGAAAAATAGCATACCCTGTCAAAAGATCGACAACAACAATCGCTACTGAAAAAGAAAAGACATGTACACATATACATGTCTACTTTTGGTTATAGTATAAGATAATGTGATAATGTTTGAAACATTGCAGAAGATATATCAACAGAATGGGATAGCATCTAGAAGTTTCAACCTTTGAAGCTTTACTTCAAGACCAGATGGTTTTTAATATTTTTACATCCTAAATATAGACATAAATAACTAATGTAGAGTTTAGTTTAGGTTATTTGTAGTACTATATAATTTTTACAATTTTGCACAGGTTTAATAGTGCTATTTTTGTTTTCTTTTCTTTGTTTTTCTTTTTTTTCGATTATTATTCAGACAATTTGGTTACAGCAATCAAGTATATTTTTAGAATATTGTGTTTATTGGATTTTATGCTTTTAAAGAATCACTTGGTTTATCGAGATTGTAATGATCGCTTTTCATTTTGAAGAATCGAAGAAAAAACATCACTTTTTAAATTACTTAATATTTATTAATACTAAATATTATTATTATCATGATCTTAATCATAATCAATTGACAATAACACATGATTTTCAAAACTTTTTTGGGTGGCGATTTTACCCCGGTCTCTCATATCCACTCTTAGAGCTTATAAAACCTACATACCATAAATCCACAAAATAACGATCATAGGTATTATTTTAAAAATCGAATTCTTCAAAAATAATATATCTAATTTCAAAATAACGCTTATACACATCCTGAAATAGCGCATATCTTATATACCAAAATAGATTATTAACCCTACACATAAGCAAATATATGATATAGCTCAGAATATTGACCTTTTTTCGAAATAATGTATATAGGCATATCCAAAATAATGCGCAGGTGTTCAAAATAATGCGCAGATATGTATTATTTTGCGAATTTATAGTATATTTATTTATTAATAAATCTAAATCTAAACCCTACTCCTAATACTAAAAAGAACCTTAAAAAATCTTTATCAAAAAATTTTAAATTTTCTTTAAAAAACAGAAAAATTTCATTTTGATCAGATTTCGTTTTAATCTGTAACAAATAATTATATTTGTATCAATATCTCTTTTATTATAAATGCTTCTATCTTTAATATTCAGAATCGACATTATATTTGGCAAAGCTTTGAGCAATATGATAATAAAGTGAAAATGTTATGTGCTAATATTTTTTTTTTAATTCGGCTGTCCTGCCACTTTTTATTGAGATTAAACTATACTAAGAAATTTATATTCTCTAATAATAGCTATACTTAATCTACTCATAAAGTGACGTACCCACGCTTTCACCAGGTATGACTTGTCTCAGTGGACTTCAAGCCTCTCTCTGGACCTCTAACTTATTAAAGATTATCCTTTGGTTATGGGCTGGTGCCACACACTATATCCAAATTAACTTTCCTTTTACAAAATGAAAACAAACACAAATATAAAGGGCATAACAAAAATAGGGAAATACTA